GGGGTTGGGGGCTCGGGGGCGTTCGGGGTGTCAGGGCCGTGTCAAGGGGGTGTTTGGGGCGGTCACGGGGGCCTCGGGGGAGTCTCAGGTTGTGTTTGGAGGTTTCAAGGAGTGTTTTTGGGGTGTTAAGGGATGCTGGAATCTCGGGGAGGACACACGTGGCAGCGGCRGGTTCGGGGCTCCCCCAGCAGGGAGCTGGTGCTGTGGGGCACCGGGGTCACCCCGAATTCCCCCAGAGCGCAGCCGGCACCGAGGGGAGCCGGGATCCCCGAACGCCGGGAGCTGCCGCGGGAGCCGGCGGGCTCGGGGGGATCCGGCCCGATGGCCGCGGGGCTGTTCCCGGCTCCCGGGGCTTTTCCCGGCTGATGAGGTGATTCCATGCCCGGGCAGTTCCCGAGTCCCAGGGCTATTCCCGGCTGCCAAGGCGAAGCCGCGCCGTGGCTGTTCGCAGCTCCTAGGGCTATTCCCGGCTCTCCAGGCGAGKCTGTGCCGGGCCTGTTCCTGACTCCGGAGTTGTTCCCACCTCCCGGGGTTGTTCCCGGCTGCCAGGGTTGTTCCCGGCTCGACAAGTCGATGCCGCGCGGGTCCATTCCCTGCTCCGGGGCCGTTCCCGGCGGGCGCAGCCGCCGCTCCCACTCGTTCCCACCTAATCCGTTCCATTCCATCCCGAACTACAACTCCCAGCGCTCCCGAGCTCTCGCCGTTCACAGCCAGATCCGGCCCCGCTCGGCGCCTTCCGCACCCCAAATTCCGGGGGGAGGAGGAGGAGAAGRGGGGTGGGGGCGAGGCCGCCGGAGCCGCTCCGGGGCTGCCGCACTCCTCCGGCCTGGCTCCCACTCCCGTTCCTATTCCCAACTCCCACTCACATTCCCGCTCTCCCAGGACCCTGCCGCGGCCATTTGAGAGAGTCGGTGGCGGAAGGAGACCAGGAAAAGGCTGGGAAGAGGCCGGGAAAGAGCCGGGAAGCAGCTGGGAAAGAGCCCTCGAAGAGGCCGGGAAGGGGCCGGGAAGGGGCCCCGGAGGAGCGATGTCCGCGGGGGGAGCGCCCCAGGTACCCGGGGGATTCCCGGCGGGATCTCCCGCTCTTCCGCCATCCCAGGACATTTGGGGGCATCCCGGGGGAAATTCACGGGCCGGGGGTTTTCCCGTGCTTTTTTCTTCAATCGCCGGACCCCTCTCCCGGTTTTCGGGGGATGAGTTTTTTTGGGAAATCGGCACTTAGGGAAGTCCCGGAGCATGACGGGGGAGACAAGCCCCCGGCTGTGCCTCCRCCAGGCTCCGGGAGTTTGAGGAAATGAGAGGAATCTGGGAGGGCACCAGGGGAGGGGGGCTTCGGGAGTGTTTGAGGCCCCTGGAAATGTGGGATTGGCTCCTCAGGAAAGATTCCTCCCTCGGTGTGGGTCCTGGCGGGTCCTGGCTGGAAAGAGCTGRTTTGGGTGGTGGGCAGTGGGGATTGGGGGGATAGGGACCTGCTTTGCGGCTCAGAGATCCGTTTTAAAGGAGCAGGATTGGGGATGTTTTGGGGTAACAAGGATCTTGTTTGGGGAGCAGGAATTTGCTGGGGGAGCAGGGATTTGGTTTGGAGGGGTAGAGATCTAATTTGGGGGAGCAGGGATCTGGTTTGGAGAGCAGGCATGTGGGCTCCATTCTAGAGCAAGGAACCCGAAGTTCATATTTGGGATGCATGATAGGAGAATGATCCTTGTCCTGGGCCTATGCCAAACCCAGGGAAAGGTCCTAAAACATCCCAAAATGACCCAAATGGCTCCAAAACGCCACTGAGCCGCTGCCCCCTCCCCAGCCTGCCCACGCCCTGGATCTGCTCCCGTATTCCCGGCTGAGCCCGGCACCGCGGGCTGCATCCCAGCTGGATGCCGTTGGCGCCGAGATCCCGTCAGATCCCTGCACAGGTGAGCGAGGGTGACACCCCGGGGTGGGGGTGGAATTCTTCGCTCGGAGCTCAGTGCATTTTTGTGGGAACTTTGAACTGGGATGATGAAAGTGTTYTGGGGGATTCCCGGGGATGGGAGAGGCTGTGGGAAGAGCCCAGAGCCCAGSAATGGCTCCATCCCACCTTCCCTGGACCCCTTCTCGAGGAGCAGCCCCATTCCCTGTTGCCAGAGCCCGGCTCTCCCAGGAGCAGCTCAGTCCTGGCTCTCCCAGCGGCAGTTCTGTCCCTGATCCTGACTCTCTAGTGCCCCTTGTTCCCCCAGGGTACCGGTTCTTCAAGCCRGGGGGTTTGTTTGGGATGAAGCCGCCGGAGGAGCCATTCGGAGCCRCGCGGACGGGCCCGGAGGATTCCAAGGCCCTGGGCAGTCCCTGCGCTGGTGAGTCCAGACCCATGGGAATGGGGGAGCAGTGGSATCAGGGGCCTCGGGAAAGTACAGGCTGGGGTGGTTTGGGGACACTGCGGGCCAATTTGGGACTTTTGGGGGGCAGTTTAGACCAGTTTAAGACTACTTTCCGCCATTTTGGGGCAGTTTTCAGCCATTTTGGTGTCATTCCAGGCCAATTCACAGCCATTTATGACYGATTTATGGCAATTCTGAGCCAGTTTTGGCCAGTTTTGTGGACCAGTCTTGGTCATTTTAGACCAGTTTTCACCGTTCTGAGCCAGTTTGGACCATTTTGGACCTGGGTGTCAAAAACTCGGGATTTGGGGGCCCTGTAGGGTGTCACAGACCAGGAGGGTCTCGGGGAGTTGGGGCCTTTTGGGGTGTCCCCGTTCCCTGCAGTTCAGCACACAGGGGCTCACAAAGAGTGGGGGGGCCAGACCCAGGTCCTCCCCACTCGGGGCAACCCCGAATTCCCTGAGAGCCGGGATAACGCCGGGATCTCTCCGGTGCAGTGGAGCCTGGGCGGGTGAGCAAGGTGGAACCCGAGGAGAAGCCCGGCATCGGCGCCGGCTCCCTGGAGCTGTTCCCGGCCGCGGGCGGCAGCTCTGGCCGCTGGTTCCCTGGCGGGCAGCGCGGGCCTGAGCCCCCCCGGGACCCCCCGGCCCCCCGAGCCGGCTGTTGGGGGGCCCAGGGGGGYGTCCCCGGCCCCTTCCGCTGCGCCCAGTGCGGGAAGGGCTTCCGGCAGAAGCAGAGCCTGGTGACGCACGAGCGCATCCACACCGGGGAGAAGCCATTCCGCTGTGGGGACTGCGGGAAGAGCTTCAGCCAGCGGCCCAACCTGCTGACACACCGGCGTGTGCACACGGGCGAGCGGCCCTTCCCCTGYGCTCAGTGTGGCAAGAGCTTCTCGCAGAAGGCCAACCTGCTGGCGCACCAGCGCATCCACGGTACCCACCCCGATGAGGGCAAGGCGCGGGCGCGGGCACCGGCGCGGGGCTGCGCTGAGGATGCGCCCTTCGTGTGCCCTGAGTGTGGAAAGAGCTTCCGGCAGAAGCCCAACCTCATCACGCACCGGCGCATCCACACGGGTGAGCGGCCCTTCTCCTGCTTCCTGTGCGGCCGCAGCTTCAACCAGAAAACCAACCTGGTGACGCACTACCGGGTGCACACAGGTGAGCGGCCCTTCGCCTGCGCCCAGTGTGGCAAGCGCTTCACCCAGAAAACCAACCTGGTCACGCACCAGAGCACCCACACCGACCTGCGCCCCTTCCCCTGCGCCCAGTGCCACAAGTGCTTCAAGGACAAGGTGTCCCTCAAGGCCCACCAGAAGACGCACATCCCCCGCCAGCGCCGCTGCCCCGCGCGCGGCCCGGCCCCTGCCGTGCCCTTTGGGGCCCCGCCCGCCCTGCTGCCCTCCGCACCCACCCCGCAGGACCCTGCCCCCTTCGCCCCTCTCCTGCCCGCCCCAAAGCCTCCCGAGGGCGCTGAGTTGTTCCCATGCCCCGAGAAGGGCTTCCCCCCACCAGCCCCAGGCGAGCCCCCCTTCCCCTGCGCCCACTGCAGCGAGGGCGTCTGCCCCAAGGTGCCCCTGCTGCGGCCCCCTGAGGCGCCCGCGGCCACATTTGCCCCCGCCCCCCCCCTCCTGGGGCCCCTGGGGGTACAGCTGGGGCCGGGGGACGCTGCAGCCCCCCCGGAAAAGCCGTTCATCTGCAACCAGTGCGGGAACAGCTTCGGGCTCTGGCTCGCCCTCGTCGCCCACCAGAAGAGCCACGCAGGGCATAAGCCGTGCCCTGGGGCCCCCCCCACCGAGCCGGGCACCGAGCAGTCCCCCGGGTCCCCCCCGGCTCGGGCGGGAGAGGGCCGGTCCTGGCCGTGCCCCGAGTGCGGGCGGGGCTTGGCGCAGTGCGGGCGGCCGCAGCGGCACGGGCACAGCCCCGGYGGGCGCGGCCCCTTCCGCTGCGACACCTGCGGCAAACGCTTCAGCCTCAAAACCAACCTGGCCACCCACCAGCGCATCCACACAGGTGAACGGCCCTTCACCTGCGGCGTCTGCGGCCGCCGCTTCAACCAGAAGGGCAACCTGGTGACGCACTACCGGGTGCACACGGGCGAGCGCCCCTTCGCCTGCGCCCAGTGCGGGAAGCGCTTCGCACAGAAGCCCAACCTGCTGGCACACCAGAAGACGCACCTGGGCCGCCAGCCCTTCACCTGCCTCGAGTGTCCCAAGCGCTTCAAGAGCAAACTGTCCCTGCGGGTGCACCAGAGGGTGCACACCGGGACCCCCGGCCCAGCCCCCGGCGCCCCGGACCCCACCGGGAGTCCTTTCCCCTGCGGGCTCTGCGGAGAGGCCTGCGGGGAGCACGGGGGGCTGCGGCCGGGCCACGGTGGCGGCGAGCGGCCGCACGCCTRCGCTGAGCAGCTGCACACCTGTGCCAAGTGCCCCCACACTTGCACCGAGCATCCCCACGCCTGCGCTGAGCGTCCTCACGCCTGCACCGAGCAACCCCATGGCTGCGCCGAGCGTCCTCACGCCTGCGTCGAGCGGCTCCACACCTGCGCCGAGCAGCGCTGTGCCTGTGCAGAGCACCCTCACGCCTGTGTGGAGCGGCCCCACCCCTGCGGGCAGCCACACCCCTGCACCGAGCGGCCGCCCCCTTGTGCTGAGTGTCCCCACCCCTGCGAGCAGCCCCACGCCTGCACCAAGCGGCCCCACGCGTGCGAGCAGCCCCATGCCTGTGCCGAGTGTCCCCGTGGCTGCGTCGAGCATCCTCACACCTGCGCCGAGCATCCTCGCCCCTGCGAGCGGCCCCACCCCTGTGAGCGGCCCCACACGTGTGCCGAACAGCCCCACGCGTGTGCAGAATGTCCCCACGGGTGTGCCGAGTGTCCCCACGGCTGCGCTGAGCGGCCCCACACGTGTGCTGAGTGCGGGAAACGGTTCCGGCAGAAGGTGAACCTGGCCGTGCACCTGCGGACGCACACCGGGGAGCGGCCGTTCCGCTGCGCTGACTGCGGCAAGGGCTTCAGCCAGAAGGCTCACCTTCTGCGGCACCGCCGCACCCACGGCGCCGGCCTGCCCCCGCCCTGTGTCACCGGGGACCCGCTGGGCAAGGCCCCTGAGCCCCCCGCGCTGTTGCTGCCGCCCTGCTCCCGCGGGGTCCCCCCAGTGCGCCCCGACAGTCCCACGGGTGCCGCCGACATCCTCCTGCAGCTGATGCAGGACGAGCCTCCCCCGGGCCCCGGCGCCGCCCCGGCCCCAGCGCCCCCTTGCAAGTGCCCCGGAGGGGGCCCGAGCCCCCGGGCGCCGGGGCTGCCCCCTCCGTGCTGCTGCGCCGCCTGCCTGGCCCCCCGCCCGCCTGAGCCCCACCGTGGGCAGCTCTGGCCCAAGGCCGGCGGCTGCGCTCGGGCCTTCGAGGAGAAGCGAGTGCCAGGAGTGCCGGAGCAGGAGCGTGGTGAGGAGAAACCGGCCCCATGTCCCGGCTGCCTGTGATGCCCCCGGGTCCTGCCCCGCTGCCTGTGACCCTCACGCTGGGATCTGCACCGAGACCTCTCCAGGACCCCCCCCCTCCCCGGTTGCCTGTGATCCCCCACATTGGACTCCCCATGGGACCCCCACTGGCAAAGGCGGGCCCTTGGCTCCTTCGCTCCCCCAGAGCRGACCTGGAGGAGGATGGAGCGGAGAGGACATAGCCAAACAGATGGAGCCGAGGCATTGGTGACAAGGTGCTGTCACCAGTCAGATACAGCGCTGGGACTTGGAGAAGCCTCCATCAGGGGCTGATGGGGCAAAGCAGAGCCAGACTGGGACACTGCACGTTTCTGGCTCTGGAAGACACCAAAGGGCTGSAGGGGACAGTGCTGGACCTGTGTCTGCCATGTTGGCTTCAGCCCCACAGGCCAGGAAAGGCTGGACACAGTGGATTTGCATCCACTGGAGTCAGACTTGGGACAAGAGGGGCCTTCAAGGGCTCCGTCTAACTTCCGGGACCCTCCATCCTATTCCAGAATGGATGGCATTCCCCCGGGACACAGCTGGGATGGGAGTGCCTTGGGATGGACTCTTCCTGCAGCAGGGTGACCTCCTGAGATCCCGGGGGCAGCTCCAAGCAGAGGAGTTGGGGGAACACTGGGAAAACAGCCTGGAAAACAGCCTGGGAGGGCTCAGCTCTGCTTCCAGAAGGGCCCTTGGAGATGCCTCCGGTGCCAGGGGGTGGGGGGGCAGCTTGTGCTTCTGCTTGCTCTGGATAACTGCGCGCTTTGGGACTCAATATTCTGGGATGGGGTGGCTGCTGGAGCCGGAGTCAGAGCCGTGGGGGTGGTGGGGGCTGCGGGAGGTTCCGGGGGCACGGGGTGCTTTGCTGGGGTTTGCTTGGTGTTCCCCCCGGTGTGACGCAGCCAGGGATCCACGCCCTCGGGCTGAGCTTCACCCACAGAGACCGGGAGCTGCCATTGCTTCATCCCAAAGGAAATCAGATGTTCTGATGGGACCGACACCGGGACAGCCACCACTGGAGCTCTGGCCGGGCAGGAGGTCTCACCCCGCTTCCCCTTCCCCCAGCTCTGCTCTCCGCAATTCTATTTTTTGAGGTTATTTAAAATAAAAGCTTCTGATGGCTCTGGGGCTCCAGGTCTTTTATCTGGGACTGGGGGGGATGTGGGGCGTCTTTCTGGAGCCTCAGTTCTGGCCTGAATCCCAGGAAGGGCTCTGCCAGCTGCAGCCCCAGCCTGCCSTGGCCGAGGGGCCACCAGGACAGTGACAGCGCTGGGACTTTCCAACCTGCTCTRCAGCCACCAAACCTCACCTGGACTCAGGACCAGGGTGCTCACCAAGCCGACCCCAGGGTCACTGTCACATCCACTGGGGTGGCACCAACACCCCCGGTGYTCTTGGGGACAGATGGGGGCTCTCACACCTGGGGCTCTCACTGCGGGGACACACTGGGAAACAAGACACCCTGTGCCACCGGCCAGGCGTGGCCAAGATTCCCCTGCCCTGGCTGGGGACTCCTGGTGCCACCTCGGATGGGTTCTGGGAGGTTTGGGCATGGGCTGTGGGGTCAGGACGCGGGAGGCTCTGATTGTCCCTGATCTGGGACTGGGGTGGACACGCAGGGTGGGGCCCTTTGCGTTGGCACTCTCTGGTACGAGGCCCTACCGTGCGGGACCCTCTGTGGGGTGTGGGGGCTCCCAGGCCCCGGAGTCACCAGGCCGGTTCCTCGGGATTTGGGGGGGAATGAGGGGTGGTCTTGGCGGGGGGGGCGTGTCTCCGAGCAGCCCCAGTTTGAAGGTGGCTGACGCTGGCGGCGTGGGCGATCGTGGCCGGAGCGGGGGCGGATCCCACCGGATACGGGGAAGGAGCCGGATCCCGGCACCCACCGGTGCTGCCGCCGTCGCACCGGCAGAGCCCGGCTGCCCGCCCAGTGCCCCCAACACTCGATTCCGGTGCCTCCCCGCTCTCCGGGGGCCGCTCCCCCAGCCCAGCCCCTTCCGCCGGCGCCGCCATCGGGCCCCGCCCGGAGATGCAGCGGGTGAGCCCCGGAGGGACCCGGGGGGGCCCGGGGGTCTCCGGGGGTGCAGCGGCCGCGGTGTTCGGCGGAGAGACCGGCCCCGGGCCGGGGGGGAGCCGGGGGTCCCCGCGGGAGGGGGGGGGGGGGCTTTGGGGGGGGCGGGGGGGGGTGTCCGACGCCTCCGGTCGGGATTAGCGGCGGGGATCGGGCGCCCGGAGCCTGGGGGATGCTGCAGCCCCGCCTGACCCCCTTGGGGTGTCCAGCGAGGGGCGGTGCTGGAGGCCCCCCTGAGCCCCGCGCTGTCCCTGCCAGGGGGTGCTCCCTGAGGTGACATTCGACGAGGTGGCCGTGTATTTCTCCCCCGAAGAGTGGGCAGAGCTGGCGCCCTGGCAGCGGGCACTGCACCGAGAGGTCATGGGCGACAACTACGACCTGGTGGCCAGCCTGGGTGAGGGGACGGGGGCGTGGGGCAGGGGACGCCACGGGGCTGGGGGGGCACAGGGCAGGGGTTGCCGCAGGGCTGGGGGTTCCATGGGGTTGGGGACACAGTCAAAGGCTGAGCTGGGCGTGTGGAGGCTGAGCCCGTGGTCTGGGGTCTTGGCTGGGGGTCTGGGGGCTCAGGGCTTCAGAGGCTCAGCCAGGGTCTGGGTACATGGCTGGGGATCCCTTGGCAGAACTGTGGGTCTGGGGGCTGAGCCGGGGGTCCACGGCCTGAGCACCCCGCAGAGCTCACCCCCCACCTCTCCGTGCAGAGAGGGCTCCACSTGTGTCCCGGGTGGGAGGAATAATGGCACCAGGCACACCGGCCCCGCTGCCCCCGCGTCTTCAGCACGCCCCGCCGGCTTGGTGATGATTCCCTGGTGACGGTGGCGCTTCTCAGGCGCTGCGGGGGACACTGAGGGTCCTCTGTCCCACACAGACCCTAACTGCAAGCTCACCCACGTGAAGGAGGAGCCACACGAGGGTGTCCCCTGCGCTAGGGGACACAGTGGATCTCCTGACACCACCGACACCAGTGAGTGACCGGGGACACCCGTGGGGACACCCGATGGGGCTGGGGGGTCGCTGTGGGACGAGGGGCTGGCCCTGGACAGACCCCCTGTCTGACACCGCCCTGAACTGGGTCGGGGGTTCTCCCCGGTATCACAGGGGTGGGCCACATGYAGTCTCCACGGTGACACTCTGTTCCCAATAGGTGCCTGGGGTGGTTCTGACAGCAAGGACGACGCCGGGGGACATTGGGAATTGGCGTACGGTGTCCCCCGCTCCGGCTGGCGTGACACCGAGCCGGGGATCTGCGCCAGGGCACTCCCCCGGGAGGTGCCGGCGGTGTCGGGGCTCCTCTGCAGCAGCCGCGGGCTGAGCTCCAGGGCGGAGGTCACGCTCCGGGCGCACCCGGACCGGCCGTACCTGTGCGGCACCTGCGGCAAATCCTTCCGGCACCGCCGCAATCTCCTGGCGCACAAGAAGCTGCGGGGAGGTGCCCGAGCCCAGCACGGCTGCGCCGACTGCGGCCGCACCTTCTGCCTTCGCGGGGACCTGCTGCGGCACCGCGACACCCACCGGGCGTGTCCCCCGGGCCACCGGCACTTCCCGGGCGAGGAGCGGCCCTTCGTGTGCGGGCGCTGCGGCCGCAGCTTCAGCTGGAAGGAGAGCCTGGAGCTGCACCTGCGGGAGCACCGCGCCCCCGAGCGCGCCCACCCGTGCCCCGAGTGCGGCCGCACCTTCTCCCGCCGCGAGTACCTCCGGCTGCACCGCCGGGCGCACTCCGGCCAGCGGCCCTTCCTCTGCGGCCGCTGCGGCCGCGCCTTCGCCTCCCAGGCCAACCTGAGCACGCACCGCAAAACGCGCCGGCGCTGCCGCCCCCGCGACAGGGACTCCCGAGGGGATGGGGACCTGCCTGGGGACAGGAAGAGGGACCCCTGAGGGGATGGGGACCCACTCTGAAACGGAGACCTGCTCAAGGACAGGCATGCTTGCAGGGATGGGGACCTGATTGCGGACAGGGACCCCCTCGGGCACAGGGACCCCCGCAGGCATAGGGACCCCCTTAGGGACAGGGACCCTCTGGCGGGTGACCAGCAGTAGCTGCGGGACTGGGATTGTCCCAGTGCTCCGATGGATGTGTCCCCGCTGGTGCTGCAGCCACCCCAGGGCGCCCCTGGAGCCACAAGCTCCTCGCAGTTCCTGAAACCAGGGGACTTCTCTATGTCAGAGACCTTGGCAAGTCCCTCAGGGATGTTTCTCCATGTCCCTTTTGCCCCTTGSGAAATCTCTCCAGGAGACTTCCGTGTGTCCCTTGAAGTGCCTTCAAACCCTGAAATGTCCCTTCAGGGCACTTCCAGTTCTCCCAGACCTTGGAAAATCCTTCTGGGATGTTTCCCTTTAAATCTTGAAGTATCTGGAATGTTTTTCCATTCCATTTGGACCCTGGAAAATGGKTCTAGATTTTTTTTCCATGATCTCTTTGGTTCATGAAGTATCTTCAGACATGAATATTTCTCCAGTGCGCTTCCTAGTTCTCCCAGTCGTTGGAAAATCTCTCTGGGATGTTTCTCCGTATTATCTTTACACCTTAGAAAAACCCTCAGAGATGCTTCTCCATGTCCCTTTTGACTTTGAAGTATCTTTGTACCTTGGAAAATCCCTCTGGGATGTTTCTCTGTGTCCTCTTCAGACACTGAAGTACCTTTGGACCCTGGAATGTCCCTCCAGGGCATTTYCCAGTCCTTGCCAGTCCCACCAGTGCCCTGCACTGTGTCCGTATTTAAAGGCAGAAATTTCTTTAAATCTATTTTAATTTTTATATGTCATTTATTTGTTCTTTTCTGTTCTATTTTATCTAATTCTGTTTGTTATTCCAGTTGTTCTCTTCTGCTTATTCCAATTCTCTTACTTCATTCTGTTCTTCCTATGCCATTTAATTCTATTTAATTCTATTTATTTCTGTTCTATTTATTCTCTTTAATTAGGAGGAAGGGCAGGGAGGGAGGAAGGGGAGGAAGGAAGGGAGGGAGGGAGGAGACTCCTCTGGGGCCTTTGTCA